CTCTTTCTCTCCGTTTTATTTATCGGCTTCTAGTGCTTGGATTTGATTTCTTTTGGTTATTTATTTGTTTATTCCTTGTTGAATCTGTTTTTTCTTGAATGCGCCCATTCTTTTAGACATTCCACGAGCGAATCCAATTTCGCGCAATGGCCCAACACTTTCTTGGCAGACTGGTTGATGTGCTTTGCTGCCTTCTACCGGTCGCCACTCAATTATGTGCGTCAAACAAGCAGTCTCGATTAATAAGCACTTCAAGCCTCACATCAGGGGCCGATGTATTTTACGCTTGCGGTCTTCTCGTTCGTCACTGTGCTGGTCTTATCTATCAGCCTCCTGGCACTCTTGGACCAGTCATTTCAGCTGCCCCATCTAGTTCTTCATCGCAAACTTGGCGACTATTGTGTCCATCTGGTCTTTTAACTAATTCATATACTTCTACCTTAGGTGTTTCTAATCCTGGTTCATGCACTTCCGACCCCGTATGCAGTTTGGAACGCTTAATAAATGCAGCCCTATTGCCTCGTAGCCTGCTCGCTTTGGACAAAACTCGTCGCGATGAACCGGGGCGAATGCCTCGAGGTCATGCTGCTTCCCGTCTTGGTTCTGTCCAGGACACCGTTGTTAAATCTTCTTATATTTCAACAGAAAAGAGTCTATCTCAAGAGCAGATAGATGGCATGAAAGACAACTTACCACTCGTGAGCGCTAATAAATCGTATCAGAATTCTTTTTTTTGAAGTGTTTTAAAATTTCCGACATTATATTTGCTATTGCTTAAAGAACATAATGCGTATGAATCTCTGGACAAGTTCAAATTATGTTAGGATTCAGTATATGTGGCCTGCTTCCTGGAGATTGGCCTCATTTAATACTTATAGCGTTCCCTTTGTCCTCGCAGCATGCTCTAATTTTATCTTTATATGTTATTTTGTTTATCCCGCTATCAAAGCCAAAAATATTCAATGTTGAGTAAATTAATCATGTAACTTTTCTCTCTGTGAAAATACTTAATACTTTTGATGGTTAATTCCTTTATTTTTTAGCTTTACAAATTAGACCTATGCATATTTATAGTCTATTCACACCATAACGAATGACCTTTTTTAACAATGACCACTCAGAATTAGACAAAAATGAACAAATATATCAAGATAGTTTTGTGCAGTTCACACTGGTCATATATTTTTCACGAGTTATTTTTTGAATAATTAAAAAGTGGAACCTTAAAAAAGCAAGGAATAATATTTTGATGCTTTTTTTCATCAATGCATATACTTTATAAAGGCACTTTTAATATTGGATACTTAGATTCTTCTTATTTAGCGTATCTTTATGCAATTTTTGATATATTTAATATATTGAGGTATTTTCAGGCCCCTAGAGATTTTGTTTTTAATTTTTATTACTAGGCGCTTTGCTTGATCTATCTACAAGCCGGTACTTAGCTCCTATGAGATTTCATCGATCCATTTTGTCCTCGATTAAGAAAATAATTAGTTGATGTTGATCAAGTGAGGTTTGCCTTTATTTCCTTGATATGCTTATATGCATGCTGTGCAAATCATTTGTTTTCAGGTTTGTTTAACCGTTGTGATTATTATAAAAATTTCTTATCAGCCTTCTAATTATTATACTTTATTCCAAGTAGTTATGCAATTCTGCTTGTTTTAACTTAACTTTGAATTACATCCGAAAAATATTACAAATATTATGGACTTCTTTTTTGCTCAATTCGCCTCTTACATTTGTCTATATTCTCCTTACCAATAAGTCGATTTCAATCTATTTTTCCATTTTAAATCTTTCAAATACAAAAAAATGATCACTATTTAAGATTCTGCAAAATGGGATAGTGCTATACAAACCTGACTTTTCAGCACATTACTATATTTCCTAGAGTAAAATCAGTTTACTTATCTCACACAGAGTTTGTTCTTGAGTTTTATGACAGACACTGATTTTCATTATAGAGATTAGCGGATGCTTGCATTAGACAGTAATTTCGATTTCATGACTTAGTCAGGTGATCTATAATTGCACATCAGATTTTTCCACTGTCAAGTAGCCAGTATAATCTCTTCCGCACAAATACCAAGCTTCT